ACCCAATCAAGGAAGAGAACATGACTGCCACCCCAGAAGCCCCCTCGTGCCCCCTTCCAGCCACTAAGCCCCTCAAAGGTAACCACTCTCCTATCTTCTAACACCATAGATGGGGTTTGCCCATCTTGGGCCTTTCTACATCACAGTGGATCTTGAGGACTGAAGTGGACACAGTAACTGTAGCACGGTGTCCAGCATTCAGTGGGAACTCACTGTATGTTGGTGCAGATTCCTCTCCCCTACCGGAAAGGAAGACACAAAGTTGTCAGTGTTCACAAGGGCCATGAACAACCAGCATGACTACATCCCCTGTAGATATTCACACTAAAAAAGAAACCCAGTGTTTCTTCCCCATCCCCGCTGGATTATGGGCGGAAGGGAGAGAGGAGGTGGGACTCTTTGAGACTGGCTATGAAAGACCTCTGGGTGCTCAGGTACAGGCCCTCTCACCTTCTCTCAGCAGCCCTTGAGCGCTGTTGCCGGACCCGGGGCTGGGCTCCGGGCTGGGGCAGGAAGAATATGGAGTGGGGTGTGCACCAGGACGGTGCCCCGCCCCCACAAATGGTAATAACTGAAGCTTCCAGTTACCTACTCTGAAATCCCCAGTGTCCTTTTAAAAGGGAGATAATTCAAAGATACCTTCAGCTTATGTTTTCTTTTCTGAAGTACAGCCAGTATAAATTATATGTAAGTAAATAAAAAAATAACTTTGACTTGGGAAAGGCAGCCAGGAAATTCAAGGGCATTTCTTAGCCACATGAGTCTGTGTTTGGGCTTTGCATATTTGGCTTCACAGAGCACCCTTAGAATGTGGGCAAGTGGCAGATGGGAGCCTGTGAATGGGAGCCTGTTCTCAGCATGGCTTAGAGGGGCTGGGCGGCCTGGGGCTGGCCTGCAGGGGCAGAGACGATGCTAACAGTCAGTAATAAAAGGCCAGTTTATGGGTTTCCCGCCCTTTTCGAAGCTACATGTATCTCATATAACACCTCCAGTGAGAACCGCTGGGGGACTGGTCTTCCTTGATGGGGCCCTCCCCTGAGGCAGCAGGATTTAGGAGAAACTTGACTCCTAACTGTGATAAGAGGGGCCTTGAGGAAGACAGGCTTTCTCCTTCATTTGCTCAAACAGCCGGACAAACATTTGACAAACATTTGCCTCACCCACACCACGCTCTGTGAGGGAGATAACATCTTCACAGTCAAGAGATCTGTGCGATTCTCACAGGGAAAAGGCAACAACCAAGAAGGTAGGTGGAGACGAAAGCCGCCTCTCTGTTTGGCCTGGGAAGGCTGGCTTGAGCAAGACACAAGGCCACGTCCAAGTTCCCTTAGTGGGCAGGGGCTTTACAGAATACAGAGTGAAGTCAGAAGGCACAGGAAACAGTACAGCTGCCACAGCAGAAGCCCCTGGGAAACTTAAGGCCTTACAGGAGGGGCCCGCTGCTCTGTGATCCTAATGTTTTGAATGCAGGCCCTTTTGTCCACTCTAGCCGTTCAAAAACATGTGTCAAGTTTTCACACCACCCCCACAAAAATAACTACCACCTACATGGCACTTGCTATGTGCCATTTGACATGCATTATCTCATTAAATAATACTCAGTTTTAGAGATGAGGAAACTGAGGCACAGAGCGATAAAGTGATATGCCCTGAGATCCCACTGTTAGTCAATGGTGGAGCTGGCCTGGCCCCAGCCTGCCTGGTTTCAAAGCCACACACCACACGGTACTCCCTCTCCTCGTGACTCCATCTGTGGCAGACATCAATACCCTGTGATCCAAATCACAATTTCATTCATTCAAGCAATATTTACTGAGTGCCTTCCATGTGTCAGGCGTTGGGCTAGATACTTGGAAAGCAGCAGTTAACAGACTGAGTCCCTGCTGCCACAGAATTCAGAGTCTGGAGGGTGGGAAGAGACAAGAAGGAAACATATAAATATATAATATGCCCCGTGGTGACAAATGCCAAGAGGAAAAATAAAACAGAGTAAGAAGACAGAGGGTGACAGGGTGGGGGCTTCTATTTTTTAAACACATTGTTCAGAGTAAGCCTGGCTGAAGAGGTAACATTTGGATGGAGACTTGAATGAAGAAAGAGGAAGCCATGCAGTTATCTGGGGAAAGAGCATTTCAGGGAGAGGGGAGAGAAGGTGCAAAGGGCCTGAGGCAGAATTGTACTTGGCATGTTCTACAAATAGCAAGGAGGCTAGACTGGCCTGAGTCAAGTGGGAAGAAGTAGGATATGAGATCAGAAAGATAACAGCAGCCCAGATGAGGTAGGGCCCCATTAAAGAGTTTGAATTTGATTCCAAGTGAAATTGGAAGCTATTGGAGGGTGTTGAACAGAAGAGTGATATGATATGACTTTCATTTTAATGGTATCATTCTAACTGCTATCTTGAGAACAGACTGAAGGGGAGCAAGGGCGGAAGCAGGGAGACCAATAGGAGGCTACTGCAAAAATCCGGGGGGGAGATGATGGCTTCTCAGACCAAGGTGATAGCAGCAGAGGTGGGGAGAAAGGGTCAGATCTTGCATATATTTTGAAGGTAGAACTTACAGAATTTCCCAAAGGATTGGATGTGGGGCATGAGAGAAAGAGAGGAGTTAAACGTGACTCCGAGAAATTGGAAGGATGCAGCTGCCATTTATTGAGATGGGGGAGACTGTGGACAGAGCAGGTGGAGGGGGAGATTAAGAGCTCAGTTTGGGACCTGTTTTGTTTTGAGATTCCCATTAGATTTGGGAAGTGAAGGTATCAAGTAGACAGCTGGATAGACAGGTCTTAAATCCAGTCTAGGCTGAAGATATGCATTTGGAATTGATCAGCATCTAGATGGTATTTAAGACCAAGAGACTGGAAGAGATCCCCTAGGGAGTGAGTGTAGAGAAATTGAGACCTGAGTCCTGGGGCCCTCAACTGTTAAGAAGTTGGAGAGAGGAGGACATCCAGCAAAGGAGACTGAGAAGGAGCAGTAAGCAGAGAGGTAGGAGGAAAACCAAGAGTGTGACGTAGTGGAGTCCAAGTGAAGGAGGTATTTCCAAGAGGAGGGAGCAATCAGCTGCAGCAAATGTTACTGATAGGTCCAGTAAGATGAGGACAGAGAAGGACCACTGGATTTGGCAAGTGGAGGTCACTGGCTAACCTTGACAAGAGTGTTTCAAGGAGTGAGGAGGATGAAAGCTGGAGTGGAGTGAATTCTAGAGAGCAGGAGAGGAGAGGAAGAGGACAGAGTGTGCGTGGACACCACCTGTGAGTCTTGCTGCAAGATGAAGCAGAGAAATGGGGCAAGAGGCTGAGGGTTGGTTTTACCAGGCAAGCAGGATAAAGGAAGTGAGGGACTATGGGCTGATGATACCTACAAGAGAGTGATTGTAATGAATCCAAGCCAATGTATGCAGAACTAAATCAAAGAGTCAAATAGCCAAAGTTGGCAGATTTGTCCATGCATGGAGAGCCTGGAGGTTTGACTCTTCCAGGGAGCCAGTTAGATCCTCTGAATCCCGCTTAACACATTTACCACACGTCAATTCCCCAAATGACTCAAAAGTACAGTCATTCCCGCTCTTGCTCTAAAGTACTCACCACACTCTTGGACATCACCTCCCCACTCTCCACCCAGCGATTGGTGCTCATTTTAACAACAAGTTGTACATCATTTTCTTTAGTATCTGCCGCTACCACACCCCCTTCCACATGTTTACTTAACTCACAAGAGTTTCTGAGAAAAATCACATCACCTGACAGTAAAAGTGATTTCTAGGAGAGAAGTAAATTCTGCAAAGCTAAGTACATCAGATACACACCAACCCCCTGTCCAGGCCCAAAAAAGAAAGCCAGAGTGATGGCTTCTGAAATCAGGTGACCTCTTCCCCCACAGGCCGAAGCCCCACTCAGCTGCTTGGCACAGGCATGTACATCCTCCAGTGGGAGCAAGACATTCAACATGTGTGCTTGGCAATGATAAAGAGCTCTTAAAATCAACCAGACCCCGGTCTATTTGCACATTTCAAAAACGTGATGAGGACCCATATCAATTCATGTCCAGCTGGCAGGGTGACTTCTCCATGAGGCACAGCAGGCACTAGGGCCTAATGAATATTTTTCTAGGGCCCATGAATACTTTCAGGAGCCCATGAAAATGTTTTAGCTTCTTTTAAAATCAAGAAAAAAAAATGAATAATGATAATGAATACATAAAAATGAATCCAGCCTAGATTAGATTTGTTTTTCTACCAAGGCGGTCACAAAATGTCCTTTTTCATAATGGACATATGGAGGAAGGGGCCCTTGAGGGCAAATGTGTCTAGGGTCCATGAAAGTCATACTGCCTTCCCTGCCAGCTTAATTTTTATGGCTTTCTCCAAACCTGGATATTTGGATGAGCACATTTTGACATAGCTCTCTTGAAATAATTGTTTTGAGAAAAAAGAATGCTTATTTTAAAAAAATTACCAATTAGTGTGTTCAATAGACACCCCTGATGCTCTTAAGGATAGAGGGAGGGATGCGGCGAGACCTTCACCTACCTCCCTCTGGCCCCACCCTGCTCACCAGATCATCCACGATTAGTTGAGAGGAGGTTGGGTGTACCTACATGGGACATGCTTTCTCTTATCACGAATCCTTTGGTGTTCCTGCCCTGTCAGGCCAATAGTAGTAGTAACGGTGATAATAATAATAATAATAATAATAATTAATAACAATACTGATAATGGTGATAATAGCCAACAGTTGTGGTATTCTCATCGTGTACTGAGCAATGAACCCAGGATTTAACACAATTGAGGAAATAATGAACTAGGTAAACTAATTTGACTAAACAGTGTCCATTTTCACATTAAACTTCTAAGAAAAGGGTGCGGCTTCACACTAGACAGTGTGACTTGCCTTCAGCAAATATACACATGTCTAAGTGCATCAAGGGCATCAGAAAACTGGTCTTTCAGTGATAGCCTTGATAGAGAATTCCAGCCTCTCCCTCCCAACATGCTCACCATTCCTCAGGATCACATCTTCACTCTGGCTTGACAGGCTCGATCCCTCGGGGCTCTTGACATTGCTCAGAGCTCTGGAGAAGTGTTCATCCACGACGCTGCTGATGTCTCCTTGGAAATAGGTGAAAAGGACGCACCGGGAATTCCACTCAGTCTTTACAGGCCTCTGCATCTGCACGGCAGTCTTCCTCATCTCTTCCATTGTGACACAGGTGACAGCTGCGGATCAAACACAAAATGTTACTGGCACTATTTTTCCAAGTGGCTTGGCTCGAGTTTGGATTAGCGGCATCCTTGGGGGCAAGCAGTTTACTCCTACCGAGTACGGGTTCTCACTGGGGCCCCAGGAAGCCACTGAGCTCCTGAGCAGTCCCAAGAAGCTCAATAACCATGCTGTGCTGGCCTGAGGAGCAGCTGAGGAGCCTTATCTGATCAGTGTTCAGGAAACAAGGAGAGAGAGCTCTATGAAGCTCTGAAAGGGCCCTCTCTTACAAACGAGAATTCCTCTAGCAACATGACTAGAAGAGCATCAGGAAATGAAAAAATGAAAAAAAAAGGCATTGAAGCCAAACAGCAGAGTAACTTGCCTTCTAGGGAAGTGCCTTCCTCCTCCCAGAACTGCATGTAGATCCCCTTGGACAAAGGCATGGGCCCCCTGGAGAGCCTGACTAAGCAATCCAGTGGGTCTTGACAATTTCCGTTTTCATAATGAGCAGTGCTTTCCATCTTGACCACTTCCGTGCAAGAGAATAAAACACATCACATTCTCCCACTCCCTCTGATGCTGTAATCTGTGTATGACGGTGTCCTGCACCCGCCCACCACCCCATCCTAGAAACTAGCAACTACAAACAACACCAGTCCTAAGGTCTCCAGACAGATATATTCTGAACCAAATGCAGATCTGAAAAACAAAACCAAACATTTTTTACACCTGTATTGTGGCAACATGGGTGAAAAGCACCTTAAAGATTGTCAGATTGTCAGCTCTGTTCGCCACCATATCGTCCTCACCGAGAACAGTGCCTGCAATAGAGTAGATGCTCAATAGCTGTCTGCTGACTTGCCTTAAACTTGGCCTCCATCATTGTAGCCTACCTGTGAGCTCCTTGAGAGCAGAGGCTGTCCTTTTGCACCCAGGCCAGGACCTGGCATACACTGGGCACTCAAGACACGCTGTGGCCTTTCTTTACTAGAAAAGTAGCCTGTCTGGATGCTTCTTTACGTTTGGCCACCCAATCTGACCAGCCACCTGCTCTGGTTTAGAAATATCTTTAATCTATTCATTCTTGTGAATATAGTGAGAATGATTAGAGTTTAATAGCCTGTCTCCCTCTCTAGTCTATGAGATCCTTGAGGATGGGGGCCATTTCTTATTCATTTCTTTATCCCCAGCACCTAGCACAAAGTAGGTATTCAGTAAACAATGGCTGAATGACTGAATTCCATTTCACGCAGAGAAAGCACAATGCAAGGAAATCAAACCAATTAGGAGTCAGAGGGGTTTTTCTCGGCCCTGTGACTTTGGGGAAACCACAAAGCCTCTCTGGGCTTCAGATTCCTCTGGGGTAAAATGAAGAGGTTGAAGTATATGAATTCTGCAGCATGTTCTTTTATGGTTCCTCTAGAAGTGTCAACAGATTATGAGGGGGACATTAGGAAGGAATCTGGCAGTGAGCAGGGGACCCTTTCTAAAAAGTTCTCCTTTCAGAATCATTCTAGCCCCAGTCATAACTGGCTTATGTCGTCTACAGAAGCCTTTGATAGAGCACATCGATCTATTTCCCCCTGGTTGACAGCCATGCTAAGCATAACCAGGCACTACCTGAAAAATGAATCCATTGTATCTTTATTTCAAAAAACTTGTGAACAACCACTTGGAAAAAACGTTTGGTAGTTTCTTATCAAGTTAAACGTACATTTACCATATGACCTAGCAGTCCACTGCTGGTACATACAGCCAAGAGAAACGAAAACATACGTCCGCACAAAAGTGAATGTTCACAGCGGCTTTATTTATAATAGCCAACAAGTGGAAACAACCCAAATGTTTATCACCAAGAGAATAAATAAACTAGCTGTAACATTTTCATACAATGGAAGGTTATTAAGCAATAAAAAGGAACAAACTACCGATCCACACAACAGCGTGGATGAATCACAAAAACATTATGTTGAGCGAGAAAAGCCAGACACAAAAGACCACGTGTTATATGGTTCCACTTACATGGAACAGGCACAAATAATCTATGGCGACAGAGTGAGAACAGTGGTTGCTGTGGCGTGGAGATTGGGAAGCAGCATGAGGGAACACTCGGGGATGCTGGAAATGTCCCACATCTTGATGAAAGTGAAGGATATATGTGGATGTATACGTTTGTCAAAACTCATCAAATTGTACACTTAAGATTTGTGAGTTTCACTGTAGGTAAATTATTCCTCAATGAAAAAGCACATGATATATTTAGATACTCGGAGTCCTAGAAATAAAGCAAAGGTGTTACGCTTGAGCACATTGAGATAAGTCAGACGGAGAAAGACAAGTACTGTATGATATCACTTATATGCGGAATCTAAAAAAGCCAAACTTGTAAAAACAGAGAGTAAAATGGTGGTTACCAGGGGATGGGGATAGGGGACAGGTCAGATGTAGTTTAAGGGTAAAAACTTGCAACGAGTAGTAAATAAGCCCTAGAGATCTAAGGCCCAACACTGTGAATATAGACAATAATACTGTATTATAGTCACCAAACTTGCTAAGAAACTAGGACTTAATTATTCCAGCTACTAAAAAGAAAGGATAATTATGTAACGTGATAGAAGTGCTAATTATCGCTACAGTGGCCATCATATTACAATATGTAAATTTATCAAATTAACATCTTGTACACCTTAAGTTTACGCAATCTTATATGTCAAATACATTTCAAAAAAAGCAAAAAAAAATAAAGCCAATGTGTTATGAATTATAAAGTAATGATAAACGTGGAAGCAGCACTTTTTCTAAAGCTATAGTTTACGGAATATCTCCTCGGTGCCAGAAGCTATACATATACTTTCTCCAATATTTACAACCCTCAAAGTAGGTATTATTATCCCCATTTTATAGATGAGCAAATTGGGGCTTAGAGAAGGTGAAATAAACTGACCAGGCCACATAGCTAGGTGGTGGCAGAATGGGGATTGGAACCCAGGTCTCTCTGGCTTCAATGTCTGTCTTTTTCCCACTGTCCCATACTGTCTACCTGGCAGGACTAACAGTCCCTTCCCCTCTATGGATTTCAGTCTCCCCATCTATCAAATGTGAGGACTTGGCCTCTAATCTCCAGGGGACCTCAAGCCAGGACCCTAAACCAACCATCTAGTTTCCTTTAGGGAATGCTGGCAGACCATCCGTGCACTCCCTCAGGGCGTCTCCTTGAGGCCTCTACCTGCAAGGGCTGCGTGGCACCTTTGTAGGACTCGCCCTCTTACTCTCAGAATTGCCGGTGGACACTGCTCTAGGCTCAGGCTCCATGCAGCTTGCAATCTGTCTTTGTTAAATCTCCCTGAAGCCACAAGGGAAGCAGCTGGCGAGACCCTTGGGACACCAGCGCCCTGGAGCACACTCCTACTCTCCTTGGGTAGAGACCACAGAAACCACAGGCCAACTGGCCACAGCCAGGAAAGGCTAGAAATAGAGAAAGTCAGAGCAACGTCTCAGCCCCATCACCCTGGAGGGCTCAGAAATAGGCAACTGGGGATCCGTATCGTGAATAAACCACATGTACTACCCTGCCCCTCTCTTCCTCCCTGAACACCCAGACACGCATTCAAAAGGAAAACCATGAGTGACTTCTCTGGATCCAGCTCACAAGCCAATTCTCTGGGCTGCACTTGGACCTCAGTGGAGAGGATCTGTGTTTCAGAGAGATTAAAATCCTGAGAACTGTTATTTGACTTAATCCTTTGCAGAACTGCATCTCACTGCACCTCTGGAGAAACGAACAGTTGCGTCGTCAAATGAGCCTTCTGTGAAGGTCTCTTTACTCACGAGTGAATTGGGGGGTGGGTCTGGCTTAGGAGAAGGGGATGTTGCAAAGCTGGAACTGAGGTGGAAGAAAGGGTGGGACTTTCCTTGAAAAGATGTCTCTGTGTCAGTGCCTGGCTTGTAGTAAAAGCCTCTTGCAGACAAAACCCCACGGCCAAGCTTTGCCAGCTGTGCAGTTAGGATAGCATAATTACAAAAGTACACAGTAGCTTGCAATTTCCCCAATGCACAAAATGTAAAGACAGCAAGTGCTCCAAGCAGTCCTCGAAATATTGCCCAATCTTCGGCACAAATATTTTAACACAGAATCTAATACCAGCAGTTTGGCCTCAACTCTACCACAGTCTGCCTGCACGGACACGCTTACCACCCTTCTGCAAAATGGTACCCAGTACCCCGGGGGTGGGGTGGAGAGTCAGAGAGGTTGTTACAAGGATCACTTGGAACAAAAGCCCCAAAGGAACCAGATTGTATCTCACTGTGCAAAGCATGTGATGCCCACCCACCCTCTGCCCCGATTCCTTCCCAGGTGAATTTCCATCTCTCCCCCTCTCCAAAAGCCCCCAGCTTTGCCTACCTTAATTCCTGGCCATCAGCTGAGACAGCAAGATGCTATGGCTGGCAAAGGTGCGTCTGGATGCGCACAGCTGCCTGGCCCACTTTAGAGCGGCTCAGTGCTTGCGGAAGGAGGGGCTGGGGATTTTGTACCCTCCCCTCGCTACTTTCTACCCCTCTAGCTGGGGCTATACAAGGCATTTCCTGCTAGCTATCTATTAAGAATGCAGAAAATGCACTCCAACAAGTCAATCGGGTTGGGCACCTGAAGGAATGAGGAAAATAGGTAGCCCTTTTTTATTTCTTTCTTTTTGCATTAAAAAAAAAGCACTTAGCAATATTGTCTCTTAAAGTAGGCTGCCAATTGTTTACCCGGAAACCACACACAGAGTCAGTAACGTCTAAAACATCAGTTATGGGGCTTGGATCAAACTGATGTGACTTTCACTCTCGGGAACTGAGAGTTAGTTTGGCTCATCACTGCTTTCTCCCACTCCCCCCGTGGGAAGAGACGGGGAGCCCAGACCCCTAGGATTCTGGACTTCTCACAGGCTTCCGTGGGCCCCAGAGGGAGTGAGGACTTCTCTGAACCTGCAATAGACAAGCAGTTCAGGGACTCCAGCTGGACGTTTGGA